AGGGTCACCATCTTCCAATAAATCCTGTTCAGATGAAAAACAAACAAAAAAAACCTCATCATGGATATGTTCTATATCTGTGCCACATTTTCAGTTAAAGAGAAATAAAGCCGTAAGATGAATTACTAAAGCGTCTATTAACACCATGTGACACTGTTCTGGTTTTATGCATTTCACATTGGGTTCACACCTGAACTGAACGTTTTGCTTTACCGTCTCACCAGGCGAGGATATCTAACACAACTCTTGGCCGTCAGAGCCGCTACAATGGCGGTGCGTTTCATTACAATCTCTGTCCTTACCATCACCACACTGCCTAGCACGAGATGCAGGTCGGAGTGACTGATTGCCGCGAAGCAGATCAATGCTGGAAAAGATAAGGAGGGCGCCAAAATTTAGCATAGCCGTTAAAGTAATTTTTCCCGTCGTTACCCACGATAGGACACGCGGGAATACTTAAACACAAAAGAAACGCTGCAAATTTAAGTTCCAAATTACATTTCGTTTTTTTCCCCCCGTCAATGGATTATATTAAGAGCTGTTATGCTGCTCTCCAAACATTTTGACTTGTTTTTTTTTGTTTTTTTCCAACGTTACATGATATAAAAGAAAAAACTAAACAAAGTGAATGAACCTCTGCCATCTGGTTTTTAAGCAGATTACAGTGCAGTGGAACAACCAGACCCAGTGAGACACAACACTAAATGTCATCTGGCATCGAAAAACTGATGCTTTTATCTCAAGCCCTTTGTTTGTTTAAATGTCCTTTTAAACTGAGTGAACCGTTCCTTTCCCAGTCTTATCTGCTATATAAGGTGTGCTGCGTGCTCTGCAATAAAAAGCAAAACGGGATGCCATGAGAACAGAAGATAACCATTCTCCGTCTGTAGCTTCAACACAAATCACCTTAATGTTTCTCAAGTATCTTCCTCGACTTTCAGCAGGAAGTGAATTTTGAATGCTCCAACATCTGTTGATCTGTACGCCTTCAAACTATCTCAGCCACTTGTTTTGCCGAGCTGTTTCTTTCCTAATCACATTCTTAATAGCAGAGATCCTTTGTTTAAAACCACGCCTGCATCCGTTTCTGCAATCGCACATTTATTGGGATATTTAAAAAGCGAAAAACTACGGCAACAGGTGAACTACACGTTCACTGTTTGCGCACTGCTTTCGGTGATAGTAAATTAAATGTACATCCTATGCCCTACAGTTATATAGAATAGTTAGTGGACATTTTTGACTTAACTTTTCTCTTGAGATATCCATCTATAGTTGATGGCTTTGCAGCCGTTTTAGCTTTTCTGTCAATATGGTTATTACCCATACCTCATCAGTGACACAAATGCAACATTTGACACAAACAATTTAAGTATCAGCTGTAACCTGTTTGATGTATTGGATTACTATTAAAAAAAAAAAAAAAGCAAAAAATTACTTTAATCTGGTTTCTGTATCGAGTTTTATTTCTACTACCTTGCATACATTTTATTTTTTTGATTTTATGTATAATTAGGTTTAGGTGTCTCTCTAAATGTTCTGCAATTTTTTTTTCTCAAGTTTACATTTTATATTTTTGTGAATATCTGTGGAAAGCAGCATAGAAGAAAAGCATGAATTCAACCATCTCTGGTGGTTTATAATTAAACATGACTACACTTTGTAGTCACTCAAATAATCTGCTTGTTTTATAAATATGTGGAAGCGTTATGACCACCTATGACAGTGCAGAGTAATTAGGTTGGATTCCTAGTGTTTGGTTGTGCTTAAACAAATAATACTTGCAAAAAGGGATGCACTGATGGAAATATGGGGGCCAATGTCAACAGCCGATATGTATATTGCTTTTATGGCCGATATTAACCAATATTACATATTTTTCTCTACCCTTTCAACGCCATGAAAAAGAAACGATTGTCGCCATCACAGCCAATGGCCAAACAGATACCACACGACCACCGCTTCCCTTAATCCTACAGAAACAAACGGCAACAAGACGGAAACAAAAGTCAGTTATTAATTTGGATTCAGTTGACTTACCGAACCAATGCAGATATGTATTGTAGTCACATCATCCCTTTCTGTGACTTTACTGGCTTTTCAAGGTGTTAGAAATGAAAAGCAACAGTCCAAAAACATACATGTTAGATCTAATATTTTTATTAAGTTTATTTGATAGGGACAGACACACATCGACGTAGACAAACTGAACAAAACAGCAGTCCCATGTTTGCATCGTAGTGCTTTTAGCAACAGCTAATTCACAGCACTTGTCCCTAGATACGCTTTTCTGTATGCAATCGCTTAATGGTGTAAACACTTAAAAATCAATTTTAAAATATTAGCATTTATAAAATTGTCAAAATCCAAAATGCCAAATTTAGCCAAAATGTGACAATGATGGAATCTGATTGGCTTTTGACATAAAACCTTTAAAGCCCAGTTATAGAGACTTACTAATGGTCTGAGTATAGTTTGACTAGTCTGAGACCAGACTGTAGCTCCACAGGAAAGATGCCAGAGGATCATTGAGTTCAAAAACATCTCTGCACAGTGAAGTGTTAAACAATTTCTAATAATTTTATAACAGTTTATGTTTGATCTAGCAGTTTTGCTGATTTTATCAACATGGCTCCTAAAATGTAACTGAGCATCTAAAATTATTCCTAAATATTTTTCTTGTGATACTTGTTCAATAGGACTGTAATGACGTTGTCTTTACTGAAAAGCAAATGCATTTTCTTTTCTTTGTATTGAGAGTTAAACAAGAATCCTTTAGCCATGATGATAATCTCTGCATATGGGCCGATATTAATGCAGTCACAACATGTAAAAGGAAGAAATCTCAAAACTCCTGAAACAAGAAAATTGTCAAGTTCCTTATAAATTCCTGCATAAAGATGAACCTTCATAGTCTTCGCTTTAAGGGTCAACATTACCATTCAAAACCAGGATTGGGACAAGAGATGATCAATAAAAGTATTAAAAACCCAATATTTTCTACTTACCAAGTTGATTTTACGTCCCCTAACCTAACCATCTTTCCTGCATCATCTATTGCTGATACAGACTCTGTCAACTATAGTTGAGAGTGAGCACTCTAACTTTATACAAATGGATGTCTTTCAGCTCCAAAGAGCAGTGGCCCGTCGCCAAGACAACAAACACTGCCACTGCCCAAAAGCATACAGAGATGAGTTTACAGAAACACCCAGTCTGTCAAAGCTGCAGCATACAGGAAGCAGACCCGGAAAGCATTTGTTTGTTTTAAAGATTGGTTTACAGATGTATGAATACCAGCCTGTATAACCAAACCGAATCCATCACATTTAATTCATTCTCAATGCCGATGTTAACAGGTTTCTTTATGAAATTCTGTTTTGGGATTGGGTTTTTTTATTGTTATTTTAGCCTCCACGTTTCATTGAAATCAACTATCTCGTTCTAATTTACACCCAAATCCTTACATTAGTGAGCAGCTTCCTTTTTGACCTCATTCACAAGTTTTGGAGGAATTTCATAACTAAAAACAACATATTTGTGAATTAAAAGTATTTTTTTTAACTTTGTTGTAACAATATGTCTCTATAATGCAATTTGTTAAGAGTTCAAAAGTTTATTTATCCTTACATTGTGCTACACTGATAAGGAAATGCTTGTGGGTTGAGTAGTACTGATATTGAAACTACAAAACACTTTTCTGTTAAAATAGCAAAATCCTGTTTTACCACAACTTGCTCGCTCAACCACAGAGGTGACACCAGCTTTGCTCCAAATGCAAGTCATGAAGGAGGAATGAGGAACAAGAAGGAAAAAAAAACATTTTCTACAACGTTTGTTCATCTTTTTATTATATAGTAAAAATAAAAGTAAAAGTCAGCCACATTCACAAATGCATCTCTACTCTTCGTACCGCTTATCTGTTGTTTTCTGTCACAGGAACTACGTGTGACATATCCTTTGAAGAACGTCACAGATAAAACGGTAAGCGTTTTAACAGTTTCAGATTACAGGCCACAGATTGAATCAGCATACTGAACAAAACAGGGGTGGGAAACATTTCGAAAATGGAAAATATCAATCATTTTCTGTCACTTTAGTGAACAAAAACAAGATTCTTCAGAGGCGAGTAGAGCAGCCAAAACTTGTACTCAGTACTACTCAAGTAAAATGTATGATACAGTAAAACTACTTTAAGAAGTCTTAACTTCTTAAAGCCAAAACTTTAAAATAAGCTACTTGTGCAACTTTTATTTCAAAGTTGCTCAAGCAAATGTAACTGAGTAAGTGTAGCTCATTAGTAGCAACCTCTGAGATTCTTATATTCCAGGCTTTTTCTCCTCAGGTCTTACAATATCAGACATCATATATTTTCTTGCCAGTTACTCCATAAACCAAGCAAGGCCCACAGGACTGCTGCCAAAGGCCACTTCTGTTAAACACTGATATACTGCGGTATGCTAATGTGAAAGTTATATACTTTCATTTCCCCGCCTGACAAGCTGCTGAACAGAACAGGGCAGCTCCTGAAACGCTGAATACTCCTTCTGTAACTCGACGTACAATATATGTATGATATATGTATGGAGAACTAAAAGTTACAGGTTAACTATCCCAGTGGTTCAGCTTGCTGCGACTTTACTGTTTTCAATGACCGTCAGCCGGTTCGGACACCGCAGAGGCGCACAGGAGACCAGAAACCCGCCCTCTGTCTGCAGGTAAACACACAAGCCTAGCGACAATGCCCGCCGCTACTGTACGGTAAAAGTAGCGGGGGTCTGCGTGGGCACCAACTTCACCAAGCGGCTGTCAACTTCACCTCCCGCAGCCCCTGCGCGGAGAGGGGCTAGGAGACATGCTGGAGAGACCGACTCAGATTCCTTCCTCTCCTCCTCCACCAAAGGCAGCACCGCGCGCTATCTCACCCCCCACGCGCGCCGGAGCGACACGCAGAGCTCGTGCAGCTCCCGCGACCCAAAACAGACGGCCAGCACACTCACCAGCAGCACCAGCGCGAACATTGTCGCCTCTCTCATCTTTCTCCTGTAGCGGATCCAGGAGGCCATGATGCCGTTGCCACGTCTGGATACGCAGGCGCATTCGGATTTTCACAGATTGTCGGGCGAGGCGCAGAGCACCCTGGGAAATGAAGTCCTTGTTCAAATTGGCATGGGAAGGAGATAATATGCACCTGCAACCTTCCACCCTGAGCTGGCCCAAATACGCCGCCGTTCTCTATAGATAGACTACATGTTACATGCTTTTTAGCAAAATATGGCAAGACGTACTGGCATGAAATTACACTACACTAATTAATAAACAGCTTTTTGTCTGTATGGACAGTTTCTTTCAGCTTGATGAGCTTTTCGCGATGGACTCATATTTTGCAGTCCGTGATCTATATGAATAAAGTACAACAATATGAAAATGGTGAATGTATTTTAATTTACTTTTGTACTCATTCAAACTCATTCTATCTATCTATCCAGGGCTGTGCAGAGACCACTAAAGGGGCAGGTGCTCAAAAAAAACAAACAAAAAAAAAACAGCGCACATCTAACCGCATTTTCGGACAGAACATTAGCAAAGCCACACAGCTTTCAGAGTTTAATGAACAATGATAAATTACAAAATTGTGAGATATACAATCAAAACTAAGGAAAATCTCTATATAGAACATACAACTATGCATATGTAAAATATTTTATCAGTAATTTCTTTCTGCAGGTCTATTTTTGTTATAGGAAAGTATTGCAATATTCAAACCCGCAATTTACCAAGATATGTAAATCAGAGCTAGACCACCAGACATATTTTGTCTGTTGCCGTAGACGTTGGTGAGGCGGCATAAGTTTTCAACAGTCCAGTCATGTTGGGATAAACCAGATCAGCATTGTTTTCTTTGATGACAGACAGCATGGACGACGCACTGAAAGATGAAAACTCCAAATATGATCTGTGAAAAACCTTCAGCTCTGTCTGCAATTTTCCTTGGTCATCAATTTCATGAAGCTGGCAGAGCATCTTTAGAGCTCGGAGTGCTTTCGGAGGAACTGTTGCGTTGGTCCACTTTTCTGGGTCAATAAGGCGGTGGAGGGCATTTAATATTTCCCAGGTAGCATTATCTCCTCCCTTAAACCGTTTCTGTAAAGGAGTCTACAAAAACATAGTATGCCTGTGCACAGTAGGACTCCTTCAAGGAACTGAAAACATGGTCATCAGAAGCGGCTGTGCCAACCGCAGAAAGCTTTGCCGGCTCTTTCCTCTGTGTCCACTGACTTCTTCGGGGGGGTCGAACCTTTTTCTGTGGCTTTCCTATACATTTCCTCAAATTCTTCTTCTGATTTACATCACTCCAGAAACCCTTCAACTATTTTGCAGGCTGTGTCCAGGTCCATATGTTTCTGCTGTAACGCATCTGATGCAACTGCAGTTACCTTGAAGATGTAATTGCAGTTACATCTTCCAAGTAATTTCCAGACATATGAAGAATTCAAAATTGATGTTCTTCAAAAGGATTGCTGCGTCACCTGCTGATGGATCAAGGGGGCTTTGCTCAGTCATATTCTCTAAGAATTTCATAACAGCTGGAAGAACTTTACTGGGAGACTTTAGGACA